GGATGTGAGAGTACCTGCACAAATCCACGTGGGCAAGCCAAGGAATAAGTGAATATTAGGTCTTCCTGAATGGTATCTCTTTTTTTTCTCTTCTTGTACTTAAAGCTGCAGAGATGCAGCCAGTAAACTCTTCATACAGACACAAGATCACATCCCTCTGCAGCATACGGCAGCTGCTTATGAAAATTTGTTGGTGATGTTTCTCAAACATCACAATTACTATTAGGGCCCACATACAAGAAACTCATTAGCATATTGCACAAACATCAATAATAAAACTGGGCCTCAAATGCCATTGCACTGGGATCCGGCATAACAATTTGTTCAGTCATCTGTGGTTCAGTCTGCTAATCCCGAACTATGCAGCAATTCAGATCAAATTGCATCATCAAGTTTTCTGTTGATGCGACCATCTGAGTCCTGTTGTTGTCGGCAGGAACCATGAGTCTGATACATCAAGATTAATGGACTAGTACAGAGCCAAGAACCCGCATATAAATAGGGATAAAATTCAAAGTGCTTCGGGAGGGCTTAAAATTACCTTTCTTGGCTTGACGATAGTTCATCTGTGCAGATCATCACAAGCACTGCAATCCCTGTGTCCCCCTGATAATCCTCCTCAAATTGTTTATTTGTGACCCGGGTAAAAAATAAATAAATAAATAAATACTTCATCGGGCTTTTTGCTTTTCTTGTACATTTGAGGAGAGGTAAAATTGATGAATTTCATTGAACTTGTTTGTCTGTGCAAAGATACCAGTGAAATGCAACACCAGAGGTACAAAATAATTATTCAGCAAAGCTGAAGTAGTGCAAGTACAGGTTTAACATTTCTTTTTCTCAAGCTGTCTGAAATACTTTGTCTGGGGGAAAAAAAACCAAAAAAAAAAAAACTAAACCTATTTTTAAAAGAGAGATGAATGCCTCAGCGCTACAAGTACAGAAATAGTTTTGAAACGATAATGTATGTGTAAGTCTGAGCAGTGGAAAATTGTGTAGGTTGTACAAAAATGTGCGGATGTGATATTATGCACTATAACGTTCATCATGATTTCATCTGTGATAACCGTGTCCTAATAACAACATATGTATCTCATAGAAGGGCTTCCAATGATGGGTGGAAATGTATGAGATTTTATGTTCATCGCAGATTGTGGGTGCATGTCCGCACAAAGCTCACATGGTCATCAAAACACTGCATAGTGATTTCATTTTCAAATTCTGCCTTTTTTTACTGATTATTCTTATAGTCAAAATAAAATTTCGCCAATTTCGCCATCCACCAACATCCATACGTTTGTCTGGACTTGGTTATTGAAAGCCAAGCACAAGAAGGAGGGGAGGAAACCTGTTAAAAAGTTGTTCATCATAAAGTGAGCTTTCAATGAAATTGTGCCCCAATAGATACCCATTGCACTTTGTTCATTGATTATTTTTAAAAAATATGTCAATCATAAAAGAAAGCTGTCATAGAAAATCAGGCACAAAAAGATCTTGTGGAATTTGCTTCACGCAGTGCTTGAGAAGAGGCAAGAGATGTGGCAGGACAAGCTGTGGCTGTTTTGCTGTGACAACATGCCTTCGAACAAGGCCCTGTGCTTCTGTCATTTCCCGACTGAGAAAAACCTCGCCGTGCTGGAGCAATCGCCAGCCTCCTTCCAGGAGTGCATGAAGGCATGGCTGAGAAGGCTGGCACTGCATCAGATCCATCCATCCATGATCTGATGCACTTATTCTCACTATCCCAGCTGACTTCAGGTGGTAGGCGGGGTGCACCCTGAATTGGTTGAAGTGCATTAGACTCCAGGGGAATTACTTCACAGAGGAAAGTTTGTAGTTTGTAGTTTGGATTTGAAATAAAACTTTTGGGATGTCTCGTGGCTTGTACTGTTATTGGGAATGAATACAGACAAATGTTGACAAAAACTATGGATCTGTACTACAAAGCAAGCTACAGCCAACACAAGTGAACTGCAGTCTGTGGAATCAGACAAGAATGAAACTCGATGCGTCGAATGGTCATGATGAATAAATTCATGAATGAATGAACATAAAGCCATGGATCTGTGACCTGCCAGTAATTCTGGTGCAACATAAAACACAACTTTCAGTTGATGAACAAAAAGCTTGACCGGAAGTATGATGATGAAAGATTTGGAGATAATAATGCATGAAGTATCTAGTGGTTTTTTTTGTTTTTTTTTGTTGTGTTTTTTAAGTTTTCGGGAGAATGGAGCAAGATTAGACTAAACGGACCAATTTGCATTGCGAGAGATCCAGCATGGGTTCATTGTGACTCGAATCACAAAGACAAAAGTGGTGATCAGAACAGTAACTCTCATTCATTATTGTGGATTCACACTTGATTGGGGTATTCATATCATATTTGTGATTTCAAGCAATGCTTTGTTGACATTGGAACAGAAATCCAGAAGGGTGCAGATTGAGTTCAGGACCATGGACAGCATCTCCACACCCTGCGAGTAACCGGTTTCCCATTTGGATTAAATAGGAGAACCAAATTTCGATGTTGTCATCACGATGTCTCATGCATCTGTCAGTGAGCTCTGATGCATCAAAGTCATTTCCTTACCTGCTTCATTACCCTCCGCAAGACTTGAGGTTACACTGACTTCTAACTTCTTGGGCTGTCAGGGGGAAATAACGGAGATGTATTGAACCCAACTTTTTTTTAGGTCACACATTACACTGACCTCAAAGTGGATCACACAAGAGTAGTTTCATTCCATCGTTATGTGACATTTAAGATGGCATTTGATGTGTGGTGTGATGCACGTGTGGAGGAGTTGCTATTTAAAAAAACAAACAAAAAAAAAAAGGCTTTGTATTTGGAATTTGGTGTCAGGACATTGTGTGGTGAATGTCTCTCTTTTGTGTGTGTCTGCATATTGTTTCCTGTAAGTTATGTTCATACAAAATTGCTCATTTGAAAGTTCAAAGCAATCATGGGAGTGAAGAGCGAGAGACTCACCATGAAAGCAGACTCTGGTGAGAGTGACACATCACAACACCAAGGGCGACAGAGAATACTACTTTAGGGCACTAATTGATGAATTTCAGTGAGTGCTTGATGACGCTGTCACGGTGCTTTTCGGCAGCCCTCTTTTTTTAATAAATACATTCTGCATGAAAGCATGAGTGAGGCTGCGGTTGGAGGGGGTTGATTGTCACTACTATTTTTCACTCTGACAACCTTGTGCCGAGTGCAAGTGGCGTAGGTGTGCTCGTGACAAGGAACTCGCTGTTCATCTGACAGCTCCACAATACTTGTCACTAAATACTGTTGTCCAGTCAAATTCACATGATTCAAATGTCTGGAAATGTCTAACAAACTTTTGATACTTCCTTTTTCCTTTTGAATTCACTTGAAAGCACCAGGAGCTTTTCACGCCACATTGCAATGAAACCAGATGGGTCAAAAATGGCATAATGCCGCTTGTGGCTGTGGAAAAATCGTGACCTTTTTCTGGAGGCAGGCCGAGGTCTTACTGGGGTCAGAACAGCGCTGTCCTCTTCTGTGTCCGTATTGTTGGCAATGGGACAGTGACCCACTGTCCGCCCACCATTTTCACACGGCTACAAATCATATGCTGAATGAAATCCCGATTTCCAAGGATTTTCAAGATTGAAAGACTTCCTCTCAACTCTGCGACATGTTTTTTTTGCACCAAGGGGCTGACGGTAATGAGTCCCCAGCCTCCACTTCAATCCAGCTGTGGAGACTTGGAGACAAATTGCATAACGCGTAATGACTGTGACTGCAGGAAGAAATAAATTGTGCTTGGCTGCAAAACTGCAAATACTTCAGCACGACTGTATACGGTATGACATCCCTGTGGACAAATCACACAAGTTTAATGACACGGTCGATAAAGTCATCTTGACATTTCACTGCTTTTCACCGTGACTGTTTGAGCACAAAATTATTGGGGACCGCAGTGTGTAGGCCCCACTGAGTGATCACTGTTTGAGGACAGATCAAAGATGTGAAAAATACAAGCAAAGACAAAATTAAATAAATAAATAAAAATTCTACTGACGTGTTGTCATCATTTGGGTACCCTTGGAGATGGCCTGCTGCAAATTTTGATAAGCCCTGTGACGTACCGTCAGGTTTTTATTGCGTGCACCCATTCAATTTTAAATTAAGTTTCTCATTGACACCATGACTGCGATGGCACATATTTCGACACTTAAAAGTCTCGTCCGGCATGGCGCACACACACACACACACACACACACACACACACACACACACACACACACACACA